ACACCAGCTTTTTAACTAAGGAAGATAGCAGCAATGCCCGAGTCTTATCCAATGGCAGAGGCCACAGAAGCAGCACAGAGAGCATGGGGCTGCAGGGAAGGAGGGCCGCAGGTGCTGCCAGGGCACTGGCTCGACTAACTGGCAGACGGGTTTATTCAGCATGATGTAAGCGGCAGCTAGCAGAGAAAGCCAGCTGAATTTTAGAAAGGCGGTGATTTACAGGCACTGCACCTTCAAGCAGACACGTGAATGGGAGGTCCAGAGTTGAAGGTGTTTACATCAAAAATGCTGAAGCAGCAATCATAGGTCTGCGGGAGCAAGAGGGGAGAAAACTCAAGAAGAGTGGGCAGAATAAGACATAAGTTATGGGTGAAGCCACGAGGATTTCCAGAACAGGAAGAACAAGCAGAGAGAAGACCTCCCTAGGAACAGTGAAAGAAACTCAGGAGAGCTCCATTTTAGACCCAAAGGCAGGCAGAGCTAAGCAGGGTTACAGTCTCAGCCACCGTGAAGGTCACAGTCAGGCCAGGTGGCTTCCAGGACAGAGGCCCCTGGATCAGGCAGGGAACACGCCCGGAGCCATGCTCTAACAGGGTGAGTGGGCCACAGGGCACTGGGATGGTGAGGAGCACGGAAGAGGAGAAGACAGACTTCTCTTCAGGGATAAAGGGTGACCCTGAGAAGAGGGTTCACGGTGATGAAGGCTGACCTGAAAACTCATTACCCCGTAAACAGGGTTACACTCCCAACCACAGCTCAACAAATGGTGAGCCCACGTGAACCCCAGGACGTTGGCAGGCCCGGTAACTCACTCACCAAAGAACACAGTACAAACAACACGAGTTTAAGACGGCAGCTGTTTCACAGGAAGCAGCAAACCCTGACCTGCAAAGGCCTGTTTAGTCGATTTCTTTATTTTGTGCTTCTCTAACTTGCTTCCAGCGAGGTTCACCAGCTGAGCCCAGACAGACAGCATGGGCTCTGTGAAGGGCAGGTTGTTCACATTAAAGGCCACGGCAGGGAGCTGGAGAGAACACAGAAGCTGTCAGCGTGCAGCCAATACGAATAACAAATGAAACGCTCTGGAAGTCATCAAAACCATGGACTTCCTCCTGAAATGCCACACATACCCAAAAACCTTTTTATAGCTGAAAATGATTTTTTTAAATGACATTAAAGGCAACATGCAGACTTGTATGTTACATATCTATATTAATTTTTCTTTACAAACCTGTCAACAATAATTACATCATTGTTGTGGTTATCTTCTCAGGTATTGTCTATATATTTCAAGTTTTCTACAACATGTATATATTCCTATAATAAAAAATATATTTCTTTCATAGAAAATATAGTCAGGCCATACACAGTGGCTCACACCTGTAATCCCAACACTTTGGGAGGCCAAGGTGGGCAGATCACCCAAGGTCAGGAGTTTGAGACCAGCCCGGCCAACACAGTGAAATCCCGTCTCTACTAAAAACACATAATTAGCCAGGCATGGTGGCACATGCTGTAATCCCAGCGACTTGGGAGGCTGAGGCAGGAGAATCACTTGAACCCGGGAGGTGAAGGTTGCAGTGACCCAACAAGATTGTGCCATTGCACTCCAACCTGGGTAACAAGAGTGAAACTCTTACTCCAAAAAAAAAAGAAAATATAGTACGATTGTACTTGGGCTACATCAAAATAATGCAAGTCACTCCTTTTCCCTGTGCATCCCTGATTCATAGGTGTGCAAGAATGAATGACAGTAGCTGCTACATTCAGTCATACCACTCAAAACAACTAAACATTTTCTACATGAAGAAAGGTTTTTTTTTTAAAAAAGGAATCATGTTTAAGTTTTTTTAAAAACCTGAGTTGTTCAATAAAAAGTAAACTTCATAAATTCACATTTTAAAATAATTAGAACCACCTCATAGATGCACACTACCTTCTAGGGGGCTAAAGCCCTCTTCACGGCTCTGAGGCTAAAAGACACATGAACCACTGCTTTCGATGCCCTGTGAGCGAGGCCCTGCTTACCACAGAAGCCCAAGCTCAGGGGAGGGAAGAGAGGTGGTTCTCCTTCCTGGGTCAGGCAGCCTCCTGGAAGGCAAACCTGAAGTACCAGAATCAAGTTCTTTCCAGTGCTAATGTTGGAGCTGAGTTCTAGGGTAAAGCCAAATCCCTTTCACACAGTAACTGAGTCCAAGTCCCCTACCGGTTTCAGCTGATTCAGCGGGCAAACGCGGCACGTCCGCATTTCGGAGAACTGCACGGTGATTCTGCCCTTCGGGGTGATGCGAGTCACGGTGCCCTCTCCAAACTCATCGTGCAGGACTTGGCCACCCAGGCGCAGGCGACCATCGATGCCCCCGATCACAGCCAGGACCGCCATGAGGCCCCCCACTTCAGGGTTCTCGGTGTCGGGGAAGTAGTCCTCTAACAGGGCCTAGTGCAGACGGCAAACAGCCAGCTTGACCAGGGACATTCATGGAGCTGCCCAGTCCCTACAGGTTTACCGTTCAACTGAATGAATTCTGAGAACACAAACCCACCCCTTCAGATGGCCTTCCCGCGAAGCTGTGGGTGATGGAGCGCAGCTGGGAGTTGATGTACTTGTTGATCAGCCCATTCCACTGCGCCAGGGAGTGCAGCACGCGCAGCAGGGCCACCACCTCCTCGGCCAGTGTGCTGCTGTGGGTGGCGGTCAGCGAGGCCTGTGGGCGTGCCCGGCGCCGCCTCGGTGTGGACTCTGAGGAGGCAACATGGGAGAAGCTGCTGCCCTGCTCTTCCCCAGGGCACAGGGAAGGGAGAGGGTTACCCACCTTTGAGCAACGGCACGTCAGAGGAGCAGGTAGTGAGCAAGCTCCCCAAGAAGCTGAACAGCTTCTCCACAAGGCACTTCATGTCCCTTGCCCTTTCGGTCTTGTCCCACGATGGAAGGACTGCTTGCAATAAATGTACAGCTAAGATCTGAAAAAGATAATTTAAAAGGGCAAGCATTAAAAAAGTCTGATTAAGAAATTACAGATTGCTGTTTTCTCTTTATTTTCTGTTCTTATAATGCAGTGTGAAAACTGAAATGTGAAAGTCAATGTGAAAATTTCTCATAATGTGAAAATTTTGAGATTCATTATTTTACAGTCAGGTAATTACATTCAAGTTGATGAGTGACTAGGATTGTCAGGGACTTTAGAAAAAAGCGACATGAGAGGTGCATGTGTTTCTTTAATTAAAAAAGAATGACTTTTAGTTTCATTCTTCTTAGGATGATTACACTATGAATCCTGTGGAGCAGATGAGAAAGTACCTGCAGGATTTACCACTTAAGAGCAGAGCAGGCAAACTAAAGTTTAACAACTTACCGACTGTCAAGGACCTCTGCCCCTCACCTCCAGAGAACCTAACCTGTCACTTCTAGACCCGTTCTGCACTCGTTACTGAATAAAGGCCCCGACTCTGAGGGCAGGGAACTTCAGTGTGCGATGCCGCTCTCAGAGAACTGGTTTTGCCTGGCAGCACAGTACCTGCCTCTGCAGTGAGGCGGCAGTGAAGGGTGCGTGCCCTTCCACGACCTTCATGAGCAGCGTGATCCACTGCGGGGAGCTGAGGGCACCGCACACCTGCTGCGTGAGCGCGATGCTCCGCACAAACCCCAGTGTGCACCAGCTCCGGTGCTGCTCCCGGCACACCAGCCTGTTTGGAGAAGCTGCAGGAGGAAAAAAAAACACTCTTGGTAACAAGTCCCTAAAGATAAATCATGAGTGCAAACCTTATTTTTTTTAATCAACTTATTATTTTCTTTCTTTTTTTTGAGACAGAGTCTCACCCTGTTGCCCAAGCTGGATTGCAGTGGCGCAGTCTCAGCTCACTGCAACCTCTGCCTCCTCGGTTCAAGCAACTCTCCTGTCTCAGCCTCCCGAGTAGCTGGGATTACAGGCGCCCACCACCACGCCCAGCTAATTTTTGTATTTTCAGTAGAGACAGGGTTTCACCATCTTGGCCAGGCTGGTCTTCAACTCCTGACCTCATGATCCACCCACCTCGGTCTCCCAAAGTGCTGGGATTACAGGCATGAACCACTGCGCCTGGCCTATTATTTTATTTTCTACAATAAGCTCCTTTACAAATATGTTGCACTTTGTAAATTAATTCAAACTAATTCAAAGTGAGGAATGGAAGAAGGCTTTTAAGTTAGTTCGAAAAACATTTCACAGAATTTTTCTTTTTTTAGCAATGGGGTGTCACTATGTTGCCTAGGCTGGTCTAAAACTCCTGGGCTCAAGTGATCCTCTTTCCTTGGGCTCCCAAGTAGCTGGGACTACAGGCATTTCTAGAACCTTCTAACTGTGTACTAAAACTAGTTAAAGAATTTTACCTATGTGTTATTTCTAGGCAATAGGAAAATTATCTATAATCCAAATAGCAGTAATTGCAACAGTACATCTATTATATTTTTTTAAATCTCCTGTTTTAAATACCTCCATGATCTTGCTTACATTTAATCTGCACCGTAAGTTTCCAATCCAAGTTTAACACATCTGCATTAACCAAATGGGAAGTTTTCACTAGGTTTACAACATTGGATTCTGACACAAGTGGGTCCACCTCTGCTCTGCCTGACTGCAGGCCTCCATTTCTCCCTGAGCAGAGGCTGAGGCTCAGAGGCTGGGCCCTCCTGAGGAACCCCTCCCACAGCCCCACAGGACCTGCCCTCGCCTCACACCTCCCCCACCCTGCCGTCAGCCATCCAGGCTTACAAGGACACCCGCCTTCCTTCAACACACGCACGTGCACTCACACACACTCTCACACCGCCATACGCATCCTCACACCCACAGCAAGTTACTCAGACACACTCATGGGCACACACACCCACCCTCACTCTCTCAGGTGCACTCACACCACTGTCACAATCACTGACACACACACAATCCCAGTCACTCATATGCACACACAACCTAAGATGCAAACTGATGCACACTCATAGATGCTCTCACGTACACTTTTACCCCTCCCAACGCATCCCGAAGCTCACATATGCACTCAAACTCCTAAGCACATTGGTTACAAGTGATGACTCACCCACTCACACCTGTGCCCACACTCACACCCACTTCTCTTTACACTCATGCCTGTAGTGTTGTTACAACCTCCCTCACTGACACAAGCAAAATGCTCACATTCACTAACATGCACTCACAGTAACACGTCATGCGTGCTGACACTGACACAAGGCACTCATACACATTTACACATATGCTCACACTCGTGCACACTTACACTTGTGCCTCACCCACTCACCAAGCCTGACTGACACTTCATCTCATTCACACTCCCAGTAATCCCCTGACACACGCTCATGCCTCCCTCTTGCTCACCCTCACACACACAGTGGCTCAAATGCACTGAGGCGCTCGCTCCCACTTCACCTGCATGCAGTCACCTGCCCACTTGTATGCCCTCATGGACATACACACCACTCGCTTGAATGCACGCACACACCCACACAATTCAAACAGACCATGCTTACAACAAACTCTCAGCCGCTTGCCCATCAACTCCTACCACACTCGCTAAATACATGCAGATGCTCCGGAACACCACTAACACATGCATGTCCTCACACACCCTCGCACACACTGAAGGCGCCCACAGACTCACCCACACTCGGTAAATACATGCAGACGCTCCGGAACACCACTAACACATGCATGTCCTCACACACTCTCTCACACTCAAGGCGCCCGCAGACTCACCCACACTCGGTAAATACATGCAGACGCTCCGGAACGCCACTAACACATGCATGTCCTTACACACCCTCTCACACTGAAGGCGCCCACGGACTCACCCACACTCGGTAAATACATGCAGACGCTCCGGAACACCACTAACACATGCATGTCCTCACACACCCTCTCACACACTGAAGGCGCCCACGGACTCACCCACACCCACGTGCTCACTCTCAGGCACACTCATCCCACTCCCTCAGCTCACATTTCTCATCCTCATACTCCACACACTCAAGCACTTTACGGGCTAAAGTGTGCCTGTCCCCAGCTTCACATACACTCAGAACCTCAGAATATGATCTTATTTAATGAGGTCTCTGGAGACGTCATTAAGGTAAGAATTTAGGTAACATCATGTTGGATTAGGGTCAGACGAACTCAAGGAAAGAGTCCTTTCAGAGACAGAAAAGGACACGCAGAACACAGGGGCAGGGGCCACGTGACGACGCAGGCAGAGACTCCAGGCCAAGGAGCCTGGAGCTCCCAGAAGCTGGACGAGGTAAGGAAGGGCCCTCCCCTAGAACCTGTGGAGGGGGCACGGCCCGGTCCACACCTGGATTTGGGACTTCTGGTCTCCAGAACTCTGGGAGAACAAATTTGCTGTTTCGAGCCAGTGTTATAGGTGGAATCCAGAATTGCAAAATTCACATGTTGAAGCTCTAACCCCTGCAGTACCACGGAAGGTGACCCTGTTTGGAAACAGGGCCGCTGCAGGTGTAATGGGTTTGATGAGGTTGAACGCTGCCCTTACGCAAAGGGGAGATTTGGAGGCGACTCACACACAAGGAGAACGCCAGGTGAAGGTGACGGCCGGGGTCGGGGGGACACTTCTACAAGCAAAGGAATGCCAAAGAGACCAGCAAACACCAGAAGCCAGGGCAATGCCCTGGAGCAGCTTCTCCCTCACAGCCCCCAGAAGGAACCACCCTTGATCTCAGCCTTCCAGCCTGCAGAACCGTGAGAACTTCTGTGTGAGCCCTCGAGTTTGTTGTCCTTTTCACAGCAGCCACAGGAGACTCATCCACACACATCCACACGCACCCACATGCAAAACCAGACACCACTCCCTGGGCCCTCAGTCTCTCATTCCATACATGTCTTGTCCGTGGTTCCGCTTTCCACTAACATTCGCAGCAGGCCACATAAAGTCTTGGTGGCTTCGCTCTGCATGAGCTCAGCATGAACTCCGGCAGAGAGACAGAGAGTCTGCAGTAAGTTAATGGTGCTGGTAAACATCACTGCCGTGGGGTGAATGTTCCTTTCCGTTTGTTCGGCTTCTAAAGAAAATAATCAAAATAACAAATTATATTCCCAGGAAGACAGTCTTGCACATAATTTAACAGCTTTAATATTACATTCTTGTTTTCCTGCAGACTCGAATTTTGGAGCAGTTTTAGGTTCACAGGAAAATTTCAAGTACAGACATTTTCTCATTCTTTTCTTCTTTCAGACAGGATCTCTCTGTCACCCAGGCTCGAGCGCAGTGGCGTGATCACAGCTCACTGCAGCTTTGGCCTCCCAGGGTCACGCAGTCCTCCCACTCTGGCCTCCCAAACCGTCAACTTTTCCACTTTGGAAAGGGAAACAGATCCTTACAAGAAGAAGACATGGAACTCAGGATGCACTAAACGCGCACCATCATCATTTCTGTTCACATTTTCCTCAAGAACCTTGTAAATAATAATTTTTAAATCAGCATTGGCATATAACACAGAAGCACTAAATGATTCCAAGGCATCACTTCTTAAGAAAGACCGTTTATCAAATGTCAGAAGCTGGTTTCTGATGAGCTAGCTACGGCCCGGGTGAGGACAGAGCACTGGCATCTATGGAATGGGACGACCAGGTGCTCACACTTCCAGCTTGGCTGGCTTCAGGATGAGGAGATGTGTGGCATATGAGGCCGCCCTCTGTCATGGGGCCACCCCTGCCCAAGCTCTGATGCCCCTACGGGGCAAGACCCCAGGCAGGGAGCCAGGCCTGCTTCCCGAAGGCAAGGGGGTCCGAGGGAGGGAGCAGCACCTGGTGTCACGCAGCACGCTGGAGGCTGGACACTGGTGGCCAGCACCACATCCACCCTCAGGGACAGGGTTCCAGGTGCCACGTGCATGGCTCCTAACAGCCCTACGCAGCAGGCAACACCTCTGTTCACACCTGAAGGGCCCCAGCCCCAGAAGCGATGTGCCCAAGGTGGTGGCGTCAGGATCCGAGCCGTGTGCCCCAAGCCCAGACGGTGCGCTGCGGCCTGGTTTCTTCCAGCTGCTCTCCAGTGAGTGCACCATCTAAGGTCTTGTGCTCACTGTCACAGTCCTTCTGAGCCTGACAAGACTGCACCACGGTGTGCACCGCAGTGCCAGGTGGCAGCCCCAGCCTCTCGGATGGTCTTACCAAGCCCAGCCATGTGAAGCATCACACGTCTTTCAAGAAGAGCTAAGAAATGTCATGAAGCCTCCCTCCCACAACCTTGGACCTCCTCAGATAGGACTGAGCTTTCTTAGCCCGCCCCTCAATTCTCACCTCTGCTTCCCTGGCAGCGATGAAGTGCTAACTCAACATTACATGAAGAGTTCAGAGTCAAGGGCTGCAGAGGAAAGGTAAGGGCAGGGGACAGGCGGGGTGTGCTTGGGCAGAGGCTCTCATGGGAGGAGGAGGCAGATGGACCAAGACCACAGGGTAACTCCACCAAGCCTCAGCTCACTCCCTCAGACACAGGCTCAGCGAGAACCACGAGACCCCCTGGTGGTGCCGCTGCCTGGCCCGGCCACCCCATTTTCAAAGAGGGACGGCTGCACAAGAGAGAGGAGGACGCAGGAAGTCGGGTACAGCCAGGCCGCTGGACCCCACGGCCACTCCACGCAGCCGCATCAGAGGTGCCCGGGAGTTACCACGGACAGAGTGCCAGCTGCAGGCGTGTCCCGACATCCCCCTCTAACGCCCAGATGACAGTGGCAGCAGCCAGCACCTGGACAGTCTGTGGGCTGCCTTGGCCGAACCACCTCCCTGAGTCACCCACCAGAGTCGTCCTCTGTGTCCGAGTCCTCTGCTGAGGGCTGTGCCGCGGCCGGCAGCTCTGCCAGCTTGAGGTCGTATTTTCCTTCTTTCCCCATCCTGTAGGAGTTGGTGCTGCCCGTGTCCCACTGGACCCTTATCCATCCGTCCTCTCCCAGCTCACCAATCACTCGGCCTAGGCCTGGAGGAGGTCCGTCCTGAGAAAGTCAGAGGAAACATCAGTTAGGAGGGGGTGTGTCTGCCCTGGTCCTTCCGATTCCCACCAGACCTGCCATACCGGTACCGCCATCTGCTGCCCTGTCTGTAAGGGCTGTCCCCACACACACATTTCAACATTTCACCTCTCCTACAAAATGCAGCATGTCTGCATCATTTCAAATTAAATGGCATGAAATAACGTGCTCATGCTCCTTTACCAAAGAAGGTGGGGAAATCTCATCTCAATTAGGATCCTCTCTGAGTCAGTGCAGAGACAGGGCTTTGCAGCAAGTCCTGAGCCCTCAATCCCTCACGGGCCTCGCCAGGGTGGAAACCTGAAACCAGCACCAGCACCTCCACACTCCCTCTTCTTCAGCTCCCCGCGAGCCCCAGAGTGGAAGCCCTGTCTCTCATTTCTGCAGGATAAAGCTGTTTCTAAGATGGATGCTGCTGTCTCCAGACACTGCCATTTCTACGACAGCCGTGACAAAGCCCAGGCTTTCCCATGTGGGGGGGAAGCTAGACAGCCCACGGGACGGTGAGCCCTGCCCTGACTTAGCTAGGGCTATGGTAAGTGACTTCCACCATAGGAAGTGGCAGGGATTTAGAAGAGACCTGCTATGAGGGAAAATGGAGACGTGGCCACAAGCCCTGAAGTCTATCCCAAACAACTGGATTCGGGGTACTTCGCAGCCCACGGGCACTGGCCCACAGAGGCAGCATCTGGGCTTCCTGCCTCTGAGCTGTCACTACACTGACCTTCAGAATGAGATGTACCCTCTTACTCACTCTCACTCTTGTTCCAGCTACCCATCAAACTGAGCCTCATGCCACTGAGTTTTCTGAAGAGCTGCCTCTCTTTCTAGACTTCATTCTGCTCAGATGCCCTACAGCAGGCATGATTACTCCCTACTTGTGTTAACTCTCTTCAGCTGCTCAGGAATCAAGACCCATATCATCCATCCATCGTACACGTCCTGGGTTATTCCAATTTCCACCCATCAGTATCGTACAGAACAGTGCAGACGACAAGTAACGTGTGGCTAATGTGTTCACATCAAATCTCTGAGTACCTGATCGCCCCATTTCCAGTCCACACCTCTCATGACCCTTGTTCCGATCTTCATCATGGCAGCCAGTTCTGGCCCTGAAACAGGGAGCTGCACAGGAGCTGTTTCCTTCCTTGTTTCTTCCAAAACTGTGGCAGAAGCACCTTGAGCAGAAGCATTTATATCCTCCTCAACATTGTCACAACTGGGACCTGACAAAGCGTCAAAAACAGCAGCTGAGCCAACAGGTAGCTACAATGTCCCCTTCCTAATATACATGCAACATTTAAAAAGTACTAATGACGATCATAATTTTAAAGAATCCATACTATATGTTTTATCAACTAATACAATACTGTGAATATTTTACTGTGATATACGATAAAAAGAAAGTAAAAGGAAGGACAAAATACTAAATATATTAAGAAGATATAAAAGATATTAAAATGCTCAGAAAAGCTACTTTCTCTATTTCTAGGAAGGACTCCCCCTAAAAAAGCAACATAAATGAGTTAGAAAGATACTCATCATATTTTTTATTAATAGAAAAACAAAAATAACTACCTAAATATCTAACAGTGGGAAATTATCAAACTTTAATCGTGGTTCTGTGCAGAAGACAGCTAACAGCTGGCCTGAGACACAACCTCAGACAGGACTGCGGCAGGCGCGGCCCTCAGCTGGAGTCTGGATTTCCGGAGGGCTCCCCCATTCCCTAAGTGGTAGGTGCGGTTCACTGTGCCTGAACTGGCTGTACAAACAACGTGGTCTGTGCCGAAACCTGCTTTCCTTGGTCTGGAACTTGGTACGCGCCGGGCAGGGGGTGCCCATGTGATCAGCCCGGATAGAAACCCTGGGCCTGGAGTCTCTACCCAGCTTCCTGGCAGACAGCCCTTGACACAGCTCAGTGCCGGGGGAGCGAAGCTTGTCCTGTGTGGCTCCTGTGGAAATTTGTACCTGCTTTCTTCTGGACTTTACCCATGTCCCTTTTCATAATTTTGCTCTGTGTAGCTCTGAGTACAGCTACAAGCTGAGTCTTGTGAGTTCTCCTGGCCAACCATCAAACTTGACAATTGGTGCCCTGGCTGGCCACAGAGTCAACCACAGCATGAAACAGAAGCTGAGCTCCTGGAACCTGAGAAAACTAACACTTGCTGATGGATTTGAAAATGGGAGATCTAACCCCAGGAGAGGAGGCTAGATTTTTAACCCCTTTCCCACTTGCTAAATTGAGAGGGGTGGGGAGTGCGGTCCCAGTCTCTCCCTTGGGTGTAGTTTTCTCCCCTAGGTGGGAGGGAAAAGGATCCAAACAGTCCCAAAGGTGGGCTTGGGTAGACCAAAAAAATGTAAAAAGTTTGTGTTTCTCTCTCTTCCAAGAGGGTAAAAAAGGATATTCAATTCCCAGGGCTGGAACAATACTTTAGGTAAGCTAGTGGGGGAAACAGCCTTTCCCTTAGCCCAGCTGCTGCTTTGCCCAGGAAGGGACAGGAGCTGCATTCCAGGTGGGTCTCCCAGGACCTCCTGGGCAGCTACACTGCTAACTCTGTAGACTGAATTTGTTACTAGGGGCTTCAATAAATTTGCAACCAAAAATGGGGGGAATTTTTTAATTTTAAATAGCTTTACATTTTGTGGCTGTTGCATGCGGATGTGTACATTGTCAGTATAAAATATTATATGCTTATAATTTCTTAAATAAGAGAGATACCCTGATCAGGGCAAGTTGCAAATATAGACAGATATTCATGAGACACAACTTCCTTGCTTTTTGCAGCCAGTGGGCCAGGTGGAATTTAAATTCATGAATACTATCAACAGAACGAGTCCCCACA